GGGGGTGGCTCGGCTCCCGGGCCAGACAGGTGAAGGGGCTTGAGGAAAGAGGAATGAACTACCGGAGGTGAGAGGACATTGGTGGGCTGCCTTCCTGGGGCCTGGATCAGGGTCACAGCCCCGAGAGAACTAGCAGTGATGCCGGGACTAAGGGGCCTGGAGAAGTCTATTACCAGGCTTGAGCCCTAAGGCACAGGAGAGGGGCTTTGAGCTCTACTTGGAAAGGTGGACTGAGGGTAGAGTGAGGGGTGAAGGGGGCGTAAATAGACCTGCGCACAGTCAGACCTGCGCACAGTCAGACCTGCGCATAGGCGTGCTCACAGGTTTGCCCTGGGGATTCGCAGCCACACACTCCGATGGGCACCGTGGACACACGCGCGCACGGTTACAGGAATCTCCAAGGAGAGTCTCTCCTTGAGGAAGAGTACCGCACTCTGGGTAAAAGTGCTTCCAGGACTGTCAGTTGTAAGCAAAAGAAACCAAACCCAAACTGGCTCAAGTAAAGGAAGGGAATTTATTAGCTCATGTAACTGAAAAGTCCAGGAGTAGATATTTCATGCTGTTGCTATGTCTGGGTCCAGGTGCTAAAGCAACACATAGGAGAGTCCAGGGCTCTCCATTTCCTGGCCTGGCTTTCCTCTCAGTTGGCTTCATTCCTACACTTGTTCTGTGAGGCAGCAAAGATAACTAGCCATAGTTTGGGTCTTGTAGCCGTCTTGCTTAGCCACCCAGCAGAGAGGATGTCTCTTTCCCAATAATTCCAAGAAAAATCCTGGCCTCACTGCTGGAACTCCCGGGTCAGATGCTCGTCCTTAGAGCCATCACTGTTGCTAGGGTGATAGAGCATTGATTGGCAAGCCTTGATCACCCATCACTGTTGCTAGGGTGATAAAGCATCGATTGGCAAGCCTTGATCCTGTGCCTAGCCCTGGGGCTCAGAGGGAGGTGGTTCCCGCCGAACTTCTGAGACTGAAAATGGAGAACCCAGGCCTAGCTGGTGTGTTCAGTGGTTAGAGCACCAGCCTGCAGACTGAAGGGTCCTGGGTTCATTTCTGGCCAAGGGCACCTTGGCTTCAGGCTCAATCCCTTGCCCCGGTCGGGGCGGGGGCAGGAGGCAACCAATCGATGTGTCTTTTTCACATCAATGTTTCTCTCTCTCTCTCCCCCACTCTCCTGAACAGCAATGGAAAAAATATCCTCGAGTGAAGATTTAAAAAACAAAAAAAATTTAGAAAGTAGAGAACCCATAGGAATAGGGGTTCTTGATGCCGGGAAGAGAAGGCCAGAATTCCCCAAGAAAGCTGGGAGGCCTCCAGCCTGAGCCGCTCCCACAGGGGCCTTAACTGGGGGCCAGGTGCTGCCCGGCTCTCAGCTGCCATGCTCTGCCATTTCTCAGTGGGAAGGGTACTGAGGAAGGAGGGGTACTCTCCAAATGAGGACTGGGGTTCAGGGAGCTTGGCCTTCAGGCACCAGCAAATTCTGCTCTTGGAAAAGGACCTGAAAGAGGCTTTCAGTGGGTCTCGTCCTGCAAATAAGTATTTTCAGAGTGAAAAGAATGGTGGAACTTCAGACACTGGCCAGCTAGGGGAGGTAGGGGAGCTTCTCCTGCCTACAGCCCCAGATGTAGCTTTAGGAACAGAGGGTGGCTCAGAAACGCCTCTGGGGAGGGAACGAGAAGGGACATGACCTGTCCAGCTGGTGCCAGAAAAGGCAGGGGCCCACATACCCACATGCCATCCTTGTATGACCCCTTTGCTCCAACTCTCTGCAGGTGGGTCTTTGTCTATGAGAAGGGCTACCAGACCTCGAGCGGCCTCATCAGCAGCGTGTCTGTGAAACTCAAGGGTCTGGCTGTGACACAGCTCCCGGGCCTGGGCCCCCAGGTCTGGGACGTGGCTGACTACGTCTTCCCAGCCCAGGTGAGCTGACGCAGGGATACACCTTCCACCCACAAGTCCTGGCTCCAAGTTGGGTTGGGTTCTGTCCCACCTCCCTGTGGGACCAGTCAGCTCCTACTGGTCTCTGGGCTTCAGTTACCCTCACTGTGATGAAGGGCGGACAGGGCCTGCTAATATCGCCCCCCCACCCCGACATCGTGGGGCATGGAGCACCACGCTGCGCGCCATGTGGGTTCTAGGGGCTGCTGGGCAGTGCTGGGGTTCTCAGGGCTGCTCTCCCAGCTCAGAGCCCTGCCCCTCGCTTCCAGGGGGACAGCTCCTTCGTGGTCATGACCAATTTCATAGTGACCCCCCATCAGGCCCAAGGCTACTGTGCAGAGGTGAGTACTGCCGCCCATCCTTCCTTCTTCAACCCAAAGGAGAAAATCACATGGAAGTGGAGGTCCCCTTGGGCACTGGAGGGGAAGCTGGATGGGCTTCCTGGGAGACCACAGTGGTGAAATTTCAGGCATAGATATATGCAGAGTAACAGGCGACCACTGACACTGCTGAGGCTTCCCTCCCAGCTGCATGCAAAGCAGGGTGCTGAGCCTCTATGCCGGCCCAACCTACCAGCCCCAGCCTTCCCACCCTCTGCCAGTCAACATCAGCATGGGGCAGCTGGGCATGAGCCCAGAGGGGTCTTGGGAAGGCACTGGGGGAAGGAGACCTTGAGCAAGGGTCACCCCAAAGGTATCTGAGATTCTGCCCCATGCCCTCCCTAGGGCCCTGGGGGCGGGAGGGGCTCTTCTCAGGATCCCAGCCAAGGGGCCTGGAGCCAGCAGCTCTCCCCTCCCCCAGCATCCAGAAGGGGGCACGTGCAAGGATGGCAGTGGCTGCACTCCAGGGAAGGCAGAAAGGAAGGCCCAAGGTAAGGTTGGCTTCCTCCCGTTCCCTCCACAGCCCCTTTCAGCTCCAAGCCTCCTCCACCAGGAAGTCTTTTCTGCCCTCTCCCCTCCTGCCATCCTGGTCTTGGCCTGCCCTGTCCCAGACCCAGCCACATTTCTGTCCTCAGGCATCTGATTTTGGGTGCCTCATCAATGAGGACTCCTCGGGATGGGGCCTGGGGGGCCCCCTGCACCCCCAGCTTTGGGTGGGCACCCAGGGCTCTCTCCCTTTCTCCAGGCATCCGCACAGGCAAGTGTGTGGCCTTCAACGACACCGTGCACACGTGCGAGATCTTTGGCTGGTGCCCTGTGGAAGTAGATGACAACATCCCACGGTAACACTTGTCCTTCTAGGGAGCTGGGAGCAGGGTCCCCAAGTCCAGACAGAGGGGCATCTGGGTCTGCACCCTGGACAGGAGCAGCCCCCCCCATCTGTGCAGCCCAGGACAAAGACCCCCCTGGCTCCTGGTCAAGGGACCTGAGAGTCCACCATTACAGCAACCCACCACTCCACCCACCCATGCCAAGGATCCAACCCCCACACACCATGCCAAGCTCTGGTGGGTGCACAGGGACTCCTGGGAGGGGGCGATGAGTGAGTGTGGTCTCCCTTAGCCCCGCCCTTCTCCGAGAGGCCGAGAACTTCACTCTCTTCATCAAGAACAGCATCAGCTTTCCACGCTTCGAGGTCAACAGGTTCGTGGGAAAAGTGGGCAAACATGCACGTGGCTCCAGGAGGCTGCCACTGCTGGTCTCAGCTGCTCTGCCACCCTCTGCTCCTGCTGATTTCATTCTGGAGGCCGGGCCTGGGGTGGGCTGCCTTCATTCTCTAAGGGCTGTGGAAGGGGCATTTCTGGAACCCATGAGGGATCTGCAGAGTTTGGGGCATGGTGGGCACCCTTCAGCTGGCACACTGCTGCCACCAATGCCCTCTGCTCCATAGGCGCAACCTGGTGGAGGAAGTGAACGCCACCTACATGAAGAAATGCCTCTATCACAAGGTCTCACACCCGCTGTGCCCTGTCTTCAATCTTGGCTACATGGCACGAGCATCAGGACAGAGTTTCAGCACGTTAGCAGAGAAGGTATTTAGTGCCAGGCCAGTAGGGAGGGCTGGGCCCTTGGATCATCAAGCCAATAAAGGCTTTTCAGGTCCAGTTAATCCCGCCTCCAGCTACTCAAGTCAGCTGCTAGAGGGTAAAAGCAGCCACAGGCAATGCGTGAACAAATTCGGCCAGGGGACCTAGTGTGCCCACCCCTTAGGGGGGTTACCCTGTAGCAACACGCAGGACCAGAAAGCTCAGTGTTAGAGTTCCCTGTCCCTGAAAATCTCCAGGCCATGCCCACTAGGAACTTCTCACCCACCACCATCATCTGCAGGTATCAGCCCAGTTCCTAGGTGCCCTGCTCTGACCACCTCCCAACTCAGCCCATCCCCACCTGATCCTTGCCTGGCCCAGAGAGCTTTGCTTTCTCAAGCTTTCTCTTCCTAGCCAGTCTTTACAGACTCACTCTTTAACTCAATAACTATTCACTTGCCTCCCACACTATGACTTGTGCTAGGAACTCAGGAGTCAGTGAATGAGACAGACAACCCCACCCTCATGGCGTTTACAGTCTTAGAAGACATGTTCATAATATAGTTATTTGTAATAAATATATGATTAAAAGTGACAAGTGTTCCAGAAGAAAACACAGAGGGAATAATTGGGTCATATTTTAGACTGGGGTGGTGGTCAGGGAAGGCCTCGTAGGGGGAATGGCTAAAGAATGAGGAAGAGCCAGCCTTGTGGAGGAACTGGGGGAACTGCATGTGCAAAGGCCCTGAGGTAGGAAAAACTTGGTGTATTCCAGAAACTGTCAGAAAGCTGGAGTGTGATAGGTGGGAGGTGGGGCCAGAGAGGGCGGCAGGACCCTGACACTAAAGCAGTTTCTCAGTATCTCTTCTCAAGCTAAAAAGTGTCCCCTCTTCAAGAGACTGCCAGCACCAGCTGTAAGACAGTAGTTTCCTGATCCTAAAACCCCAGATCTTAATGCCTGTGTCCCTGGCAGGGTGGGGTGATAGGCGTCACCATCGACTGGAATTGTGACCTGGATTGGCATGTACGACACTGCAAACCCGTCTATGAGTTCCATGGGCTGTATGGGGAGAAAAATCTGTCTCAAGGCTTCAACTTCAGGTGCTTGCCAGGCCCCCACTGGTGCACCCTTCCTTGGGGTCCTGTGGGCTTTTCTTTTCCCAGAACCCTTGGGGCCAAGCAAGTGTTCCTGGGAGGGGAGCAGAGGAGCCTGGGCAGCTCCGGTTTTCCTGGGATTGACCAAGCAGGGAGTCAGCAGGGAGCAAGACCTTAGAGTCCTGAGTCCCCTGCCCCTTGGTGCCCTTGGGCCCACCTGGCCAGGACTGGCTGGAGAAATTGCTGACCTCAGGAGTCAGGGTGAGGGTTGAGTACAGCTTTCCTGGAATGAGTCCTGGGATCCTGCCTGCAGCTCCTCCTCTATGTAATGCTGGGGGGCGTGGGGCTGTCCTCATGGACCTTTAAGGGCCCCTGCATCCCTGATGCTCTGGGACCTCCCTACCCAAGATGCTTTCTCCATCGTCTCCCCTGCAACCACCCCTTCCCCAAGGTTTGCGAGGTACTTTGTGGAGAATGGGACCAACCACAGGCACTTGTTCAAGGTGTTCGGGATTCGCTTTGACATCCTGGTGGACGGCAAGGTGAGTGTCAGTGTGAGGAGCACAGAGACACCCTCAGGTCCTGCGAGTGCCTGTTGGGCATCTGTGGTTACAGACGATGGAAACTGGGTGGGCTTCATTCCGCAGTTCTCTGTTGGGGGCAGGGGTTCCAGCTTGTGACCACATCTCCCCACTATCTCCCTGTGTCCAGGTAGGCAGAGCCAAGGTCAAAACCCAGGGCTCCTGACAGCAGCTGAGTCACTATGTAGAGTCGGACCCTGGGCAGCAGGCTGTGGGACCAGCTGACAGTGGAGGGGACACCCCTGGGCTTCTGAGGAAGGCCTTTCCAACAAGGCTCCTGCTGAGTGTTAACCCTTTTCTCCTCGGGGCCCCTCACCAGGCTGGGAAGTTTGACATCATTCCCACAATGACTACCATCGGCTCCGGGATTGGCATCTTTGGGGTGGTAAGTGCTGGGGACAGGGAGTCACTGTGCTGGGGTTCCCCATATCTTGGGTCCTCTTCCATATCTTGGTCCCCCAAGGGCCGGCAGGGCCTCATCCCCCCTCCAGGACCTGAGGTCTGGATAGGGCAGGATTCAGCCAGGGCCCCATGGTGAGTAGGGATTCGCAGGCTCTAGCTACCACCCTCCTGTCCCCAGGCCACGGTCCTCTGTGACCTGCTGCTGCTCCACATCCTGCCCAAGAGGCACTACTACAAGCAGAAGAAGTTCAAGTACGCAGAGGACATGGGGCCAGAGGCGGTAAGAGAGCTCCCTGAGCCAGGCCCTTCAGAGGCCTCAGGCCCTTAAGTCTGTGGTGGGGAGTGAGCTGCTCCCTGAGGCTGACTTTTGTCCCCCTAATGCTCACACAGAGTGAGCGTGACCCTGCGGCCACCAGCTCCACCCTGGGCCTGCAAGAGAACATGAAGACGTCCTGACCCTCAGCCCCGGCCCCGGACTGGATGCAGCATGAGGCTTCAGGCGGAGCCCTGGTGGGGTCCCAGCCAGGGTAGAGGAGCCTCCTCAGGAGCTCTCCTGCCCTCTCAGCCAGAAAGACACCCTTGTGCCGGCAGCTCAGGGTGGACACTGGGAGAGACCTGCCCAATTCTGAGCTTTGGCTCCAACTCCACACCCTGCCAAGCGAAGCTCACCGCAGCCTCAGCCTCTCTGGTGCGGAGGTGCTGGCACTGGGCGGGGCCCCTCACACTCCGCAACTGGAGCCTTGTGCTTGTGTCTCTGGGCCCTCACCCACCCCACTGCCTCATGTCTCCAGACCCGTGCTCTCCCATATGCCACCCACTAGCCACAGTGACTATTTAAATTTAAATTAATTAAAACTGAATAAAATAAAAACTTTAGCTCCTCAGACTAGCCACATTATAATTGCTAAGTAGACGTATGTGGCTGGTGGCTGCCGTATTAGACGGTAGGGACCATTTTCCGCACCACAGAGACTTCTATGGGACAGCTCTGCTCGAGCCCCTTTCTCACTGGCCTCGGATTTCTGTGGGGAGCTGATCAACCGTGCAGGCCCGTGGGCCCATCCCAGACCCCCTAAACTAGAATCTCCAAGGCTGGCCACATGATCTGCAAGGCAGCAAACTCCCCAGGGCATTTTAAGGACCTTTGGTTAAAATGCTCCTGATCAGGTATAACTTAGCCTGGGCCTGCATGGCCTGGCAGGTGCCAGAGTGAGCAGGTGTGTGGTGTGCTCACAAGCCACACAGTGTTTTGTGCACACACCCCCTTATGTGCACATGCACCTGAATGCACATCCCCTTCTATCCACACTGTATGTGAACAGCTTGGGCCCGGCAAACACAGCCATCTGAACACACCTACACCCCCAAGCACAGATGCCTGGTCCCTACCATGTCACTTCCATGGGAAGTGCGTCTCCCAACTGTGTCAGGCCAGGACAGCCCCTTCAGCCCTGAATCCTTACTCAGCTACCTCTGGTCAGGTGGGAGCCTTGGCCAAACCCTGGGCTTCCTGCCTGTGGCCCAGCCCTAGCTCCCAAGGCCTGCCCAGCTCTGTCTGAACAAAAGGTCTGGGGGAAGCGAGGGGCGGAGTACAATAAAAGGAATGAAGACAAACCTCTGCCTTCTGCACTTTCTTCTCAGTCCTCTCTGAAACTCAGGGTCCCCACCTGTGAACTGTGGGGTTGAGCTGAGTTATCTCTGAGATCCTTCTGGATCTGCCAGTGGGCGGCGGTGAGCCGATGCTTTGCCCTGAGCCCGGCAGGGCTGGGGGTTAGCTCACCTCTATCCACGGACCACTGTCCTGGCCCTGCCCTGAACATTGGAGCTCTTCCCAGTCCTCCACAAACCCCTCCCATGCTGTAGGAGGCCTGGCACTGGGACAAGTAGAGAACCAACCTCAGGAGCCTCCTCAGGAAAGCAGGGGTGAGGAAGGGGCTGGCTGTTCCAGGAGGGAGATCTAAGGGAATCCCAAAGAGGGGAGGAAGGTCTTGAGTGAAGATAGTGTGGAAGGATTCTCCAGGGACCCTGCTGTGGGTATGACCACCAGTCTGGACTTACAGCCAGGCAGGACCTCTGGGCAACCCCATCACCATGCTCTGTCCAGACCAGTGCCATCCAACAGTAACAATGAAACGTTCTCCATCTGTGCCGCCCAATATAGTAGTCACTAACCACACGTGGCCACCAAGGACTTAAAATGTGGCCAGTGCAACCAAGGAATGGAGTGTTTTATTTTACTTCCTTTTAATGAATTTAAATCACCACACGTGGCTAGTGGTTACCAAGTCAGACAGCACAGGCTAGCAGGCCCTTGGCCTGTGCCCTCTTCCCCAGCCAAGAACCATACTTCATATTTTTCAAGACAGCAGCTCCCTCGTCTCTCTTCCTTCTCTGGACCTACCTGCCTTTGCACCTCCTGCCCTCTTCCCTCCTGAATGAGTAGAGGATTCCTCCTTTGTATCCAACCCTTCTACCCAATCCAGAGGCCTCCCAGCAGAGGCTGCGTCTCCTCTCTCCCACTCCTGTACTGTGCCTCCTCCTGGCCCATGTTCCCCCGCAGCTCTGCCTGCTCCCCCTCACTGCTGCCATTCCAGAAGGACCAGTTTACATTTTCTTCTGTGTCCCACTCTCTGCAGTTGGCCTGCAGGCCCCACCCCCACTTCTCCTAGATGCCCTTGCCAACTTACCAGCAGCATCTTTGGTGCCAAATCCAAGTAGACACTTCAGCTGTATCCTGTTTGGCTTGTTGGCCAAGCCCTTCTTTATCAAAAGATTTCCTTCCAGCAGCTTCTAAGACCCACCCTCTCTTGATTTTCCAGCCAGCCCAGTGTGCAGGGCAAAGACAGGTTTCAACTGCAGCTCTGCCACGGGTCACTGTGTGTCCTTGGGCAAGCTGCTTAACACTCCAAGCCTCCTCTGTGAGAGAGGGAAAGTAATAGCCTCTACTCAGGTTGGGATAAGATAAGATATGAAAGTGCCTGGCGTAGAGCCTGGCACACAGTAGTGCTCTACCCTCTCTTTCAATAGTGGGGCCACCTAGTTGTCCCCAGATATCTATTCTCTATAATGATACAACCCTTGGTTCTTGGCTGGATATGTGGCTGCCTAGAATGAAAGCTGCATTTCCCAGCCCCCTCTTCCAGCTGGGTCTGGCCATGTGACTAAGGTTTAGCTAATTGAATATATGTGAAAGTGTCATGTGACACCTTCTGGGAACTTTCTTTAAAAGACAGCTGGTGAAGGTCCGTTGCCCTCTTCTTCTTCACCCCTGTCTTCATCTCACTGCCTGGAATGCATATGTGATGGCTGGAGCTCTAGCCACCATTCTGAATCACGAAGACAAGTGTTATACCCAGAAGTTGCTGGAGCAGTGAGTGGAAAGAGCCACATTTGGAAAGTCTGTGGAACATATCTGACATACTAGCCCAGAACTGTCCTCCCTGAGGTTCTTGAGTGGGATTTCTGTTACCTAAGTCAAAACTGGTACAGAAATCTTTCCCTCTTAAAAGCAAACATTCTGTCCTTGGCCCCTGCTTTATTTGCTCTGAGATATCGCACCCTTTCCCATTGCTCTACTTAGAACTATGGATCCTTTCTGACCACTTCCAAAACTGTCTCGCTGGCCCAGCCCTCTTTCCTGAACTCCAGCCCTACATATCCCACCTCCTAATCACCATACCCAATTAGTTATCCATTCGACAAACATCTTTTGAGTGCTGGATGAATCCAGCAGACTCCTTGACTTAAGGAGCTCCCAGTCCAGAGGGGAATAGGCAGATAAACAGATGCTCCTGACAAGGAAGTCCCTAGGAGGGGCTGGTAACCCACACTGGGCAGTGAGGAGGTAAGAGGGGAGGGTTCCCGGCAGACACCTATTGAGCCAAGCACTGAGATGAGTTAGACAGCAGATGGTTAGGACTGAGGTTATGGAGGGCTTGACTGTACCTATTTTCGGGATACTGGTGAGCCATGGAAGATTCCTAAGTGAGAGCTGACTAGTTGGATTTGTGTTTCTGAAAGATTGCTCTGGCTGCCAGACGGAGAAAGGATATTGGGGTGGGGTGGTAAGACTGGCTAAGGGTGGGAAGCTAATGAGGAGGCTGCTGCAGCAATCCAGGTGCCAGAGGATGGTGGCCTGAGCTAAGGGAGGGGCAGAGAGGTAGAGAGAGGTGGCTGGATTCCAGGGCTACTTAAGAAGCAGCCTAGGCTGGGCTTGGTGATGGACTGGTTGGGGCAGGACAGGGGTAGCCTACAGTGACTCCCAGGTTTCTGGCTCCAGATTGAGACAGAAACGCGAGAAGCCGGGTTTGGGGTAGTGGTATGGGGCTGTGTCTTGGGCAAGCAGTAAAGTGAGGTGCCAGAGGATTCACATATGCAGAACAGCATAACGGAACCAAGCGTTGGTGAGTTCGCCAGGGGATGGGAGGGAGGCAGAGTCCCCAGAAATGCCACCATAAGAGTCAGGCCGTCCTGGAGGGTCCCCTCCATTCCCTCTGGCCCAGCTAAGCCATTCTTGCCTCCTGCTCACAGAGCCCTTCCCGCAATAGGAAACCGCTTCTGTCTCCCTTACCCCCATCCCGCAGATGGCTAAACTCCTGACGGCCATTCAAGGCCTTTCTCCCTGGTGCCTCCCCTAGTACGCACCTCGCCACAGTCCCCCGCCCTCGGGAGGGGCGCTCTTGCCCCTGCCAGGCTGAAACTGCAGGGGACAAAGGGTTTTCTGGGAGAAGCACCCGTACCCTCCAGGCCCCGCTAAGAAACCCAGGCCGCGGCCTGGAGGAATTTGGGGTACTCCAGCCAGCCTGCTTCGGGACCTTGGGGGCGTAGAAGGCCTGGCTCCGCTGCTGGGGGCAAGGCCCCTCCAGCGCCTCTGGCCCGCCGAGGTCCCACCCCTCCAGGAGCGGGGCGGGAATCCCGAGCTCTGATTGGGCAGCGCCGGGAGGCCGCGCGGTCTAACCAATGAGCGCGGGCCCGGCGCGGCGGTGGGCGGGGCAGCGAGCGCTGCCTGGAGCCGCGGTGCTGGCT